ATGCCCCCGCCCTCCTTGCCTCCCCAGAGTCTTCATTCCCTTTCAGCGTACCATGAAGCTGACAGAACTGTGATGGTTGTCAGGCCATTCCTCCCTATTTGCTACTGCCTTATGTACCAGGTATGCTGGACAGAAATCACCTGCTACACTAGCCCATGCACTGAGTATGTTCTAAAGAACCTTCACAGCATCTCCCAGCAGCAGTGGGGTGAGCCAGTGCCCATCATCGCTTTGGGGGCGTGCTTTCTTTCTCACGGTTACAGCTGCCTTCAGAGCCATCGCACGGGCTCTTGCCTTTTCAGTGTAATAATGCCCTTGGCTCGCAAGAAGGCCACGTGAAACATGTGCAACAAAAGCTGAAGCTGCATGAAAAGCTTCATGTTTTGTTACAAGCCCCAGCGGTTGTGGGAATGCTTCAGGCGAAGCTGGGGCTAACTTCCAGACGCGAAGGGCCTGAGCCAGCTTCCTGGACTCCGGGAAAGTTTCGGTCCCTATCTAAATTTGCTAGATCAGGCCTGGCTCTAGCTTCCAGCAATTTAGTTATCCAGCGAGACGAGGCAGTGCTCCCCCCGTAGTAGGTGGCTATAACTGGTTTTGCTTGGACTTTGTTGCAGGTTTTTAGAGCTGGACCTCAAGGGGAAACACTGTGGGCCATGCTCATCCTTTTAACTCCACCAGGCTGCCTGGGGTTGGATTTTGATCTCACTTGCACTAGTGTAACCCCACTGACTCATTCCTGCTGTACGTGAGCTCAGAAATAAGTCCTAAGTATTTATTATACAATCCTCACTGCTAGTTTCCCCTTTGGGGGGGGGCGGGCGGGGGTATGGGCACTGGGTAGGCCCAGACTAAAACAGTCAGTCTGCAAATGCCCTCATCAGCAGTTCCCCTTGGGCGGTAGAGGCATGCGGGGAGAATGGGTCTGAAGTTCCTTTCCTGACAGAAGACATGACAGGGAGAGAGTGCGATGAGTAACTGATGAGTAATCTTCGCAGCCAGCCAACGCAAACCACGTACCAGACAAGAAATGCCCTTTTGCAGTAGAACATTCCCCTTCCCCCTCCCCCAGCTGAAACCTTGTTCTCCATTAGGTCTGGGGAGGGGCTTTTATGTAGCGTGTAGAAAAGCAGCTTGGATGGAGGGTTTTTTGGTCTGGGTGAGGGGAATGTCTGACACTGAACCTCATGCATAAGAAAATAAAAAGGAGCTGACATCACAGTGTAAACACGATACTTGAGTATTGTCTTTTTTGTTTGTTTGTTTGTTTTGCAACCCAAAGTAAAACTTGCCCCATTCCCTCCCCCCCCACAAGTCCCCCAATGTGAATGGGGTCCAGTGAGCTGGGCAGGCAGCGCTGAGTGTGAAGCAACGAAAGCTTTGATGGGGCTACAGTTTTTCTAGAGGACGATGGCAGCCATCTGAAGTCCTTGGCATGGTGGCTTTGCGATGCCAAGCTGTCTTGGGGAGCAGAAGGAATCGGTCCCTCGAATCCATGTGCTTTGCTTTTCAGATTTACTACCTAGCAGCAAGACGTCAGTTTATACTGAAAAAGAATCCGGGGTGGAATTTGTTCTGATTCTAGCTACATTGTTATCCTCCAAAGCATAGAATGTTTATTAATAATAATAAAAAAACCCAAATGCTCAGGAGAGTCCAGCTTGTTCCCCGGAGATTCCGAGCATGTCCTTCAGATTTCAGTTCTTTTGTCCTGGCACTGGATTTTCCACTCCTCAATATGAGTAGATTTTTCCAGCTACTGCTCACGTGAGAGTGGCGGACGGTATTGGAGACCGTAGGCTTTTGTATGCTGTTGTGAATATACAACCCCAATTGTCTTTGTTCTAGGTGGCCCTAGAGTGCTATCCTGGAAAAAGTCTCTGCAGACTTCCCAACTTTATGTTCTGCAAAGTATTATGCTAAGAGTTGGTTGGGGTTGAAGTTGTCACATCCCTTCCATTGGTTCTGAAAAGAATGGGTTGTTTGTTTGTAAAGCTACGGTACTAACTCGGATATTTAGAGACAGCGTGATGTGTGTTGGAGGAAAGGGAAAGAACCTTCTTACTTCAGTCCAAGTTAATGAGCAAGACATCTACCAAACTTTCATACTTTGTCCAAGCTGACCTCCCAATGCTCAACTCAACTCAACTTCCAACTCAAATCAGACCTGCTAATTTGTCCAGCAAACAAAAGCTGGATTGTCCTTTTTTTTCTTCTAATACTTGAGTGGCCAAAGCAAAAGCAGAGATGATGTTCATCTGAAGGAGAAGATCACTCCCTTGAAAGCTTGTCCTCTTCAGACACCTGTCCTCCCACGTATTCAAAAATCCAGCACTCAGGAGCAAAGAAACCGAGTCCAGCCAGCCAAGGTGGACATCAGGTAACAGAATCATGCTCTGGAAGGAACTTAAATTCATGTCATCACCTTCTTCCAGTTCCAATAAGCCGGGCACAAAATGGGCTTCCTCAAATAACCCACTCCGGCTCTAAGGTAAAACCATATGGTGGACCAGCAGGGCCGCCTTTAAGTGTGAACTTGGAAATCCATGTATATTGCTTGTACTGAACAGTCACTCCTCCACCACAGTAGACCAGGCTCTGGTTCCTTGGGAGAAAAACATGAGATCCTGGGGAGCAAACAGACCTATCTCCATCTGCAGTCAGCAGAATCCAGTCTGGTCCCTGCTCAGTGGTCCCAAGATATTTTGGTTTGGTGAAGTTGCAAATTCAATGTACATTTATAGCAGCTGAAATTCCTTGACACAAAGTTGCTGAAAACTTGATGGTTGTGTCACATAAGACCGCCACCAAAGAGTAAGTACATTACGGACTGGCAGTTTCCATTTTGTGGAAGGAATGGTTTCATAGCAAAGTTCTTACCCTTCAGGTTTACTTTTTTGTTTCTTTGCGGCAATAAGTTCTAGTTGGTTCATCCTTGCTAACGACGCAGGAGGAACCATAGGATGTTCCTTGTGCTCTGTGCATTGTGAAATTATCTTTTTGCCAATCAATACTAATAAAAACAAACACTCAACCTTGATTTTGGTTGATTGGTATTAAAGACTGAAGGCCAGAGATATCTGCTAGGTAGAAATACCCCATTCATCTCATGTCCTTTTCCAGTCTGACCACTCGTCCACCTCTTGGTTTTGGAAACTGATCCTTCAGGACAGTCATCGTGTAATTTTTATTTATTTTTTAATGAAGAAACCGCAGTTTCTAGTGGTGTCTCCCCTGAGTATTTTCAGCAAATTTCATTAGGCACCTTCATAAAAAGCTTCCATAATTCTCGGTTTTGCTACAAGAACTGGTCCTCTTTGGGAACCAGAATACTGCTTTTTAAAAAAACAAAAAACAAACACTCATCATTGTAATAAATTCAAAACATCTAGTTTGTTTTGTAACCTATCTGTCACCCTTACACCAGATCCATAGTGAATACAACTGAGATGTTTCCCTGCAGCATACCAATGAATCGAGGGTTGGAAAAAGGTGCATTCAACCCTTCTTTCTGGTTATGGACAGTATATGTTCTGACACACCCTCTGTTTGCTCCCTGAAATGCAGTAATTGAGTGTGGAAACCTTTCAGCCACAAGTTGGACCTCGCCTAGGGGTGAATGAGCAAAGATGAGACTGACTAGGAGTTCAATTCAACCATCATTGCAAGCTTCCCTTTGCATCACCTTCTCCTAGTTGGAACTGTTGTATGAGGCATGGTATCTATTACATCTTGGGGGTGGTCCTTCAAAATAATTTGAAAGTGTGGAACATCAAGACAGAACCATAATACACTTAAATAACAGTCAGGTCAAATGCACCTTTTTCATCCCCTACTGCTTTGGTAGAGTCACTTGTCACAGGCTACATGCTACCAAAGAAAAAAGTGATCAACAGATTGCTTGCTCGACCTTGCAAGATTTGTGTCAGGAATCTACCAAAACAGCAAGTGACTGGCGGATGATTCCTGTCAGTAGGGAGAGGGTCCCTCCTAGATATTGCAGAGAGAGAATGTGTTTTCAATTAGCTCATGGCAGGCTACATAATATAAGATGCTACATTCCATTAAAAAAAGTAGTAGTGCTGAATATATTCATTTTTCGTTTTCTTTTTTTAAAAAAAAGCTATTTTTCCTCAACGATCAGGAAAACAAAATGGAGGCAAAACAAAATTGAGTTAACATGCTACTTGCAGTGGGATTGAATGAATCGGATCCAAGACGCTCCCGCCAGCTGTTCAGATGAGAAATATGGTCCATTGTTTGATTCCTTTCCGAATATGACTCGATGAGATGCGGTAACAGTCTTGGGATCGGTTGTCGGTCAGTCACATCACTTGTTCTGCGTTACAAGTTTGTTCTTGTTTCTCCTTCCCACCCCTCTCGTTTAAAGTCCCCTGCCTGCGCGGTGGAACGTTGCAGCTGGCGAGGAACATGTCGAGAGCAGCTCGTTTCAGGGAGGGGGGAAAAAAATGAAACCAAACTAGACACAGAATATTTACAGCCGTTCCACCAAAGGTTTTGGTAGGCCAGCTTGTTTCCTTCCCTCCCTCCCACCCATGCCCTGAGCCCTGCCCCTTAGGGGCAAGAAGGACTTGTGGAACTCTCTAGAGAGGACTGGGAGAGGCGACGCGTCAGAGGGCCGATGGTGGAGTCCGCCAGCGAGGAAGTGGGGAAAAGTTTGTACCAGCCTGTGACCATGTTGGAGAGATCCAGTTCTTCCAAGACAATCTGCGCCATTCCCATGAAGCACTTGTGGTCCATGCGGCCATAATCTCCCCAGACAATCACCTACAGGGAAGAACCCTCATTAGGTAAATTGAACCTGTCCCAGGCTGGGCTCCGTGCATGGGGACTGGTGCCCAGAGCATCATATAAACCTTGGGACTCTTCTCCGGACCCCCAACGTTTACCTGAGGGAAGCCAGGTGGGTCACACCAGAAAGGTGTCTGGTGTTATTCTGAGGGGGGCTCTGAGCTAGGGGCATGAGCAATGAATTTCAAAATCAAGACAACAGGGGTCCTATATTCCCGTCTCTGACATTGACTCCTCGAATTGTGCAGCCATGACCAAGTCTGTCAGCCCCTCTCTGCCTCAGGTTACCGACCTGCAAAATGGGGCATTATAGCCTTAATGTCACAGGGATGTTGTGAAGATGAGTTACCCCACTGAGAAAAGATTGTGAGATCTTGGCTGCAAGGTGCTGCCTACTGTTTCTGGGCGAGGAACATCTCTTAGGGTCTGTATGGCGCCCGGTCTGTACAGGCCCTGCCCTTGGGTGAGGCACTACCATAATATGAACATATACAGTTCAAGACCTGCCTCTCTGAAGTGCTGGGTACCTGCAATTCCAATGGGAGCCACAGGATCTCCGCATCTTCAACATTTGAGCTCTCCCTCGGTCAGCCTAATGCTCACCCAGTTGGATGCTGATGTCACCCTCAGCTCACAGCCATCTTGGCCATCTATAAGGTGTGGGCCCTATGGCAAATGATGTGTGCAACTGGATCGAGGGAAAGGTCAAAAGTCCCTTCCAGCCCAGGATCTCAAAGCACTTTACAAACCTCCATGAATGAGGTCTCCGCATACCCCTGCGTGATACGGCAGGAACTACTGCCCTCTGGTGCCAAGGAGCGACACAGAAAGGGGAAGGGAGTTCCCACGGTCAGGGAGGAAGTGAGGGGCAGAGCTGGGGATGGAACCCAGGAGTCCAGACTTCCAGTTCCCTCAAATGAAGCGTTCATGGATCCGCTCCCCCAGTCAAAGACCAGATGTTTGACTGGGTCTCTTTACAGGCAATGAATAGGGGGGATCTGGCACCCGCTGCTGGGGGCATTTCCTCGAAGATATCCAACTTTCCCTTTAAGAAGTGGTCTTTGCCCACCTCCCCTTGAAAAGGGATTACTTCACCTGCAAAACTCTGCCCTGTGGGCCCTCGTCAAAGAGCAGCGCCTGCTGGTAGAATGGGTCCCAGGTCTTCTTGGCCATCTTGGTCTTCTTCTTGGCCAGGCAGGTCCCATTCTCCAGCAGATAAACTTTAACATAGGTCGCTGCATTGGAAAAGAGACAGAAGCACAGATGCAAACCAGCTGTGAATATCCTCAGCAGAATCCCCTGGGCACTGGGCCTCATCTACGGTGGGGGAAATCCAGGCACACACTGCCAGGAACACACCTCAACCAGAGCTCTGCCTCCCACAGGGATGCTGGCCTGCCAGGACCCCCTCCCCAAGCCCTGTGTTGTAGTTTCCCAGAGCTATGCAGAAGGGAGGGGGAGGGACGTCTCATCTGGTTGGTGGGGCGGGGGAGAATGGGCAGCAGGAATTTCGGGAAGGGGTGCTGAAAGACTGGCATCCCACTGGATTGTGGTGCATTCTCTGTGGTGAGGGCCGTGTCTGGCGGGGGGGGCGGGAGGAGAGGGTCTGTGCTGTGCTGATAGCCTTGACTTTTCACTTCCTTGCTGGGTAGGTTTTGTGTTAGGTGTGTCGGTTGTAGAACAACCTGAACTGCCCCTCCGCCCGGGGTTATTGTGTGCTAATGCCTGACTCTGTGGGTGCACTCAGCCAGCCCACCCCTTGGCTGCCCACTCCAGGCAGAGCCAGACCCAAGGGACTAACCATTGCACGACTGGAGGGGGAGCCCCAAGGGACTGGGGGGGGCATATGCTTGTTATTGGGGTGTATCATAAAGCAACGCTATCGAGAGCAAAATGGAGGCATTAACCCCTTCTCCCCCGCACACCTTCCCAAAGCTCCTGGACCCCTCTTCCTTAAGGCTTCTTGGCACAGATACCTACCAGGGATGGACTTGGAACCCAGCTTTGGGGTGAGGCCCCTGGCCTGGATCACCTCCACCTCCAGCTGCCCGCTCCTATCGATCATCCCAATGTGGACATCGCCTAGGACAAAAGGGGAGAGGTGAGAATCAGGGGTCCTAGCGAGCCCCATTCTGTGTCAGGGACAAATGGCCACCCCCCCATTAGCATCCAGGTCGTTTCGTTACTCGCCCGCAGCTTCCACTGTCCTCTGCACCCTTGCTCAGAGGACCCTGTTCTAAAGCACCAGGTGCATTGCAGAGCAAGTCCCAGAGCACCCGGTGTCTTAAAACCGCTGCAACAGGGGGGCACAGCAAAACGAAAGTAACAAGAACATGCAACTGATGAGAAGACAGGACATCACAGGAGAGCCATCTAACCCCGTCCTCAAGGGAGCTTCGATGGGAACATGTCTAGGACCCGGAGCTCAATTCTGGGCACCTTGTTACCAGAACAACATAGAAACTGGGGAGAGAATTCAGAGAAGAGCGACATGCAATGGGCTTCATGCACCTGTCGTGCCCGTCTGAGTGTGCTGTCATGGCACTGGGACAACTAGTGAGACATCAGTGGCTGGCTCTGCAGAATTTCTAAGCGTCCACAACTACAGCTGAGTTGTACCCTCTAGAAATCAGGCCATAGCATTTTAAAAATGAGGCTCCCCCCCCCACGCTCGGTTTAAGAGAGAGCCTTTTCCTCCTGCTTCTCCGACAACTCGATTCGCTGTCCATGTACTTTTGTATCTGTCAGGCCACAGTGAGATACGCCTTTTCTGAACCCTGAATCAGCCCTTCGGGAGCTTTCCCCGTGCTAGGATTAACCAAAGCCATGCCTTGGGAAGGGGAGTTCCTCAGCATGGCACGTACGTCCTGGGGCTGCCCCAAGAAGCAGTTGAGGAGGTGGAGAGAGTTGGGTATCATCTCCATTCTAGTGCCCCTGAGCCCTAAATGGCCCCCTCAAGGATTGAACTCACAACCCTGGGTTTAGGAGGCCCAAGCCTAGCTGAGTACCCAGCAACTAGTTCCCTTCAAAGGGGGGGTGGGCGATTTCCCTGCCTATAGTGCAGTTCCTCCAGCCCTTTCTGAGTCCCATAAAAGCATCCCTAGAGATGGTCCGTGTCCTTTTGTGACGGGCTCAAGGGTATTTCTGATGGGCCCATGTCATGCCCCAGATTCCACGTCGTACACTTTACAGTAGCATCTCCAAGGATAGCCCCAGCCCTCTGCTTACAAACACTGAACCTTCCCTCTGTCAGTAAGTAAGTTAGTAAGTTCTCCACCCGGATGCCTCTCCCTCACCCTCTTCTAAACCGCTCAGGTTGAATTACGCCTTCACGCTGCCTCCGCGGCTCCCTTGGAAGAATGACCGTGGTGGTTATTCCTAATGTTGGCCAGCAGAGGGCAGCTGAGGAAAGCGTATTCTCAAGCATTAGGTGTCAAAGGAGAAAATGAAATACCAATGAAGCGGGTGGGTTTGTTAAAGAAAAAGGGAAAGCAAAGACTATGTGATTTGTGGTGTGAGGATGTGGCAACTCGGCTGGCAAAGCCCAGAATGACATGAACAACAGAAACCACCACGGATGGAGAAAGAAAGAACGACACGAACAACAGAAACCACCACGGATGGAGAAAGAAAGAAAGAAAGAAAGAAACCAGAAGGAAACAAAAGACAATGAACTTTTGTTGTTGTTTTAAGCCCACGACACGGATTCGGTCTCCCACTTACGTCGTCTGCAGCAGCCCCAGTAGGTACAGCCCTTGGGATGTGCACGGAGGTAGGTCCCTGTCGCTCCACTGGTGTGTGACTGGCCTACGGCCTGCACCCCTTGCACCAGCGCGGCCCGGGGGAGGGAGCGGGGATCGGCGCGAAGGGATGGGGGGACTGTTGGTGTCACGCCGGAGTTTAAGAGAAACAAGATGAACTTGGACAGTCTGAGACACACTTTGCATTTCAGAAGCGCGTTGGACTCGGAGCAGGGGACACCGTAAGAAATGGGGGGATGAGGACAGAGAGAATGAGCTGAGAGCAAGGTAGGGTCTCAAATCCCGGGGGCGGGGAGTTATGGTTTGGGGGTGTCACCTATCCCAGTGTTTCTCAATCTCTTCGATACCAGGGTCCGGCTTGCTGCCTTCCTAAACCGTGTCAGGGAGATCTTAGGGACCGGCACCAGTCCACGCAGCGGTCATTGAGAAACACTGACCTCTCCCACATCGATGGCCTTAAGGAGAAGAAAAATGCCTCCTTTCTCCCGCTGGCCCCAAACTTGCTATAGAAAAGCCAGGAACGTACTTTAAATGCAGCCGGTCTGATTCGGATCTCCCTCACGCCAGTGACACTCAATTGACTTTAAAGGGGTTACTCTTATTTACACGAGGCTCAGGGTCAGTTTGTTCATGGTGGTTTTTTAAGGCAGGAGGGGAGGGTTAAGCATTAGGCATTAAACATCTGCCCCCCGCCCTGCCCAGGCTCAGCTCCACCCTGCATCCTGCTGAGGTGGAAAACAAGCACCACGCCGACTACTGGTCTTTGGAACATTTCCACCAGCTGTATTTTGAACCTTCAAAATCTGGGGCAAAAATCTTGAATGGAAATTTTGATTTAAAAGAAAACAAGGTGGGGTTATGAAAATGTGAAATTCCACACCCCTCCCCCCGCTTACCATTGCCCTTAAAAATCAAATCAAAGGCCTGTCTGTTCTGCACGCACATAAACGATGAGCCTGTTGAGCCTGGGGAAGGAGTTTTGTTCTGCCCTTCCTCAGAAATCACCCCACCACTGTTCTGAAGAACGCTTTCTGCCCTCCTTGCCCTCCACCCCAGAGGTGGCTGCATTGCGGGGCTGCTGCATATAGGCTGTGGGATCTTTAGGACTCAAAGGCACTATGGAACTTAGGACAGGGGCTTATAGAGAAAAGGGCCTGCTTCACTCAAGCTGAAAGAATGGTTTTCTTTTATACAGAATAAGGCCGGCATTCCCCTCGTTTGCAGTTGCAGTCGTTGTCCCAGCACGGTGCTCCACCCAGCTGAACATCTCAAGAGAAATCCCAGCTATGGAACACTTCACTGGGGTAGGACAGGTCTCTGTGCAGTATCTGGGCATTGCCACATGCATACCCGAAATCTGACTCTCTTCTGTAGCCAAAGGGGCCACCTGTCTGCTCCTCTGGCACCCGTGTCCAGGCCCGGACACCTCGCTGCCCTTCCTGCACTGCTGCTGGCTTGTTAGTGGCCCTGGCAATGGCAGGTTATGAAACTGGGATTTGCAAACGCATTCCAGTGGGATTTGGGTTCCTAACTCCCTTGGGTCCCTTTCAAATCCCAACCTGCCCCAGTGAGAGAAACGAACCCCATCGGCCCTCCCCGCCTGTTGTTTTGGGCTGGGTCCCTCCTTCATTCTGGGGCAGAGCTGGGACGTTAAAATGGTTTCGCTTCAGGCCTTGGAGAGCAATCCTCAGCGGTCCATTTGAACTCTGTTAAAAGGTGTAGCTGAGATGCCAGCACAGCCTGGCAATGAAAGGGTTAACGCCATTGGGGTCACATGCCCCCTTATTCCACAGGGATGAGACCTGTCCCTGTGTCTTCAGCTCCCGCCCCACCCCCAGAAGGCTGGCTCAGTCTGCTCCCCATGGAACCAAGCTGGGTCCCCTCCGCGGCTGGACAAAGGACTGATGGGCGTGTGGACAGGCCCCTGGCACTGCAGCAAACGGCCTGTGTGCAGCGTGGGTGGGGCTCAGCGGGGCAGGGATGAGACAGCTGGAGGTCTCGGCAAGCTGGGCAGTGGGTTGGGGGCTCTGCAGCTGCTCAGGTTGGAGAGACCCCAGGCAGCAGGAGCAGGGCCTATTACTGCTATTTCAGTGAGTCCCTGTCGGAGCCCGGTGCCCTTCTCAGACGAGGGCCGGTTCGTGGGTCTGACTTCAGTCCCTTCCCCTCTCGCGCAGGGTGGATGGAGGACGTGGGCTCCGCACACAACAGAGCCGCCTGGCTCCTGTCGTCCAGCCAAACCGTCGAGCAGCAGGCAGCTGTGTGTCCAGCATTTCGCTCAGTTTGAGCGCGCATCAGTTCCCTGCCTCCAGCCCAGTTCCACCAGGCAGGTCACAGACACCCACTTCCCTTAACCCCATGGGAGGCAGGGTCAGGGCCTGAGCCTGACCTCGGTGCCAGTCACCGGAGGTCCTGCAGCGAGATCCGGCTGTTCGCCTCCATCCACTAGGAGACACGGGCCGGGCACAGGGCTTGGAGCCCAATCCAGTGTAACAACTTCCCCTCGTCCCTTTGGCTGGGCCACCCGCTCCAGCTGTGAGCACTCACCCATCGGAGGCGTCGCCAGTGTCTGCCGGCCAACAATCTGCGCCGGCCCGAGCCCGTCTAAAAAGTCACTGAACTGGCTCTCGGCTCCCAGCCGGGTCATGGGGAAAATGAATCTGAGATAAGGGGATGGGGGGGTGGTGAGAGAGGAGAAGGGACAGTACGGGTGAGACAAGCCCCCGGAAAGCACTGGATTTCCCAGCCAATAGTTCTTTGCACAGAGCTAATGTGCCTTGCACGAGGATCTCAAAGCACTGAGCCAACATGAATTAACCAAACCTCCCTTACCATTTCCTGACAGTGACATCAGCTGCGGAACGGACCCTCCCAGGGCACTGGTAGGATACCCACCGCGTACGGATTAGAAACGCGGCTGGACAAAGCACAGGAGACTCTACAGGGAACCACCCTGCCCTGGAGGAGACAGCCCCAAGTGGACCGTCGCCAGCTCCGATTTCTACAGGACCCTGTGAACTCAGCACGAGGAAACTCCAGACTGATCTGACACTCTGTGCCCAGGGATCTGGAGTGCTTGAAAGCCAGGCAGGCATCACCCCAAGGGGTTGTGGGGCTCTGTCAGAGAGCATTGGCTTGATACTGGTAGGCACCGGTGACAGCCGGGACTGAGAGCTCTGGCTCCGCACACCACTGGGAGGCCCAGTGGCTCGGTCTGATTTGGGGCACTAGGAGAGCTGACATTAGCCCTGCTCTTAAGCTGTGCCCCGTGTGGGAGTGGGAGAGCAGCAGAGCCGCCATCATCCTCCCCCTGCGAGGAGAGCGGCCTTGGGGCATTACGTGCTTCCTCCAACCCACTGGGAGAGACCGAGGGCCTCCTCTGGAAGGAGAACTGCAGCTGGGCTTCTGCGCCTCGCTGACTGCACCCTGCTCCCCTCCCCTCCGGTCCCAGGCAGGAAAGGGCCGGTCGCCCCGTGCCCTGGGCCTTACGTGCCATCGGAGCTATTACTGTTGGTGCTGCCGTCGGTCGATTCCCGGCTGCCCTGCCGCGTGACCCTATTCCTCATCTCCACAGCAATGCCGGTTTCCGTGCTCCGCCGGATGTTACTGCGCAGCTTCTTGGGGCCACCGTCTGGAAGCAAACACACAGATAAGCCAGGCTGGGGAATCGCAAGTAAAGAAACTCCCCCCTCCCGGACAGCAAGATGGCAGAGAGCCATCAGCACAATGCTCCCTGCACCCCCATCCTCCTCCTTCAAGGGTTGATGGTACATGGCCATGCAACATGACATCACCCTACTGGGACAGGCAACCCAGGTGGTGTCATGGGAGATGTCATGTCTAGTGCTTAGAGTAAGAACATAGCAAGATAGAATTCCTGGGTTCTATCTGCAGCTCTGTCATCGACCCCGGGCAAGTCACTGCCCCCCTCTGTGCCTCAGTTTCCCCATCTCTAAAGGGAGGAGGACCAGAGCCCCCTCTGAGGTGGGGTTTAGGGTTAATTGATTGCCAAGTACTTTAAGCTCTGATGCAAGGTGGCAGATGGCTCTTTGCAGCAGGGACTGCGTTTGTACAGCGCCTAGGCCCCCATCCCTGGCTGGGGCCTGGAGGTGCGACTGTAATGCAGCCCAAGGGAACTGATGGCAAAACGGTAATGCTCATTTGTGCAGGAGATCAAGCTTCCTCGGGGGCTCCTCCCAGACTGGAACGCACTCCCCCAGCAGCCAGGAACCACCGCAGATCTCGCCACCTTCTGCTCCTAGAGCAACCTGCCTTTGCTCCTCCCAGCAAACAAACAACAATCCTCATTTAAAAAAAAAAGACACATGCAATTTCCCCCTAGGAAGGAAGCGACGAACAAATCAACCACACACAGCAGCTGCTTGTCCCCTCTCTCACTGCACTGCCAGAGCCTAGGGCACTCAAATGCCATGGAGAGGAGCACAGTATAAAAACTCGAATGGAGTCAACGAACTGAGGGCCAAGGGCACAGCAGGATTAAACAAAAGGACTGGGTGTTTCTGTGGCTAATGAGAGGTACATTCAAGGGGTAAAAGCAAGTTGTTTGGAAGGGCTGTGAACATCCTGCTTGGGGGCATGGGCCAGTCTCTGCCAGATGGGCCTTAGAAAAGAGCTTCTCCTGGGGACAGAGTAGCACAGAATTATCCACTAGGGGCTTCTTGTGCCTTGTATTAGGAGGTGTGTGGTAAGCAAGATGCGAGAAGTAATTCTTCCACTCTACTCAGCACTGGTAAGGCCTCGGCTAGCAACTCTGGGCCCCGCACTTTGGGAACGACGTGGACAAATTGGAGAAAGTCCAGAGGAGAGCAACAAAAATGATGCAAGGTCTAGAAAACATGACCTACGAGGAAAGATTGGGTCTGTTTAGTCCGGAGAAGGGAAGATGCGGGTGGGGAGGAGGAGACATACAATAACAGTCTTCAAGTATGGAAAAGGTTGCTCTAAAGAGGAGGGAGATAAATTCTTCTTCTTATCCCCTTAGGATAGGACAAGAAGTAATGGGCTTAAATTGCAGCAAGGGAGGTTTAGGTTGGACATTAGGAAAAACTTCCCGACTGTAACGGTAGTTAAGAGCTGGAACAAATTCCCTAGGGAGATTGTGGAATCTCCCTCTCTGGAGGCTTTTAAGAACAGGTTAGACAAGCACCTGTCAGGGATGGGCTAGAATAATACTTAGTCCTCCCTCAGCGCAGTTGGCTGGACTAGATGATTTCTCAAGGTCTGTTCCAGACCTGCATTTCTATGATTCCTCTAAAGCAGCTGGTACTGGGCAATCGGCAGGAGATGGAATTCACTCCCCGTAGCTGCCAGGAGGCCCCAGTGGCTTGGCTGGCTGGTGGAACACAGCAGGTAATGGTGCCAAGGAGTGAGACCAGCAAACACTGGCTCCCACCTGCCTGTCCCTTCCCCAGCAGGGGAGCTGTAACTCTCTGCCAGGTACATGATGGATAACGCTCCCCTGAAATATCACGCTCAAGCTGAGATGCTTCAGATCTGCTGTTTACCTGCCCTTTACAACTGACCTTTTCCTTCTCCGGAGGGGAGAGGGAGCGGGGGCGGCTGCTCTGTCCAATGGGAAACGCTCTCTGCCCTACAGACCCCAAGGGAGGGGGGCACTTTATAGCAGATGAAAGAATCAAAGAACTCCACCCGGCGAGAACCCCCACACACACAAGGTTCTGATCCCCATCTCCCGGCGCGCTGCTCTTGGGCCTTTGATAAATTATTCACTGGGATTTATGCAACCTTTGCAAAAAGAAAGAAAGAAAAAGCCATCCAGGCTGATTTCATGTCGTCACTCGCCTCTTCACTGAGAAAGGTGTCGCTGCCTGAGCAAACGTGAGCCCAGCACGGACCCCGTCAGCACCTGCCCTGTCCCGACTGAGGCCCCTCCCTGTCTGACCCCAGTACGGACCCTCCAGTCCTGGGGAGCCCCCTCCCTGTCTGCCAATCAGTGAGGCCATCATGAACTAACTCCTCTCACCTGGAGCAATGAGCAGGCAACCCTGCACCAGGTGTCTGGACTCCTGACTGCTGTCGCTATTATACCTGCACTAGAGCAGGGATTCTCAACCATTTTCTTTCTGTCCCCCCTCCCCCCAACATGCTATTAAAACTCCACAGCACACCTGTGCCACAACAACTGTTTTTCTGCATATAAAAACCAGGGCTGCTGGGTTTAACCCCCTTGCAGTCAATGGCTTCTCCCAACCCCCATGAGTTTTATGGGGAACCTCCAAAAGTCCCCCATTTGGTTCAGATGCTGCACTAAACTCCCAGAAACTTTGGCGTTGGGCAAAAGCCAAGCTGGATCTAAACCAAATCGCTGGAGCTGGAGGGGTGTCCAAAATCGTCCGAAATCCAGGTCTAAACTTTGCAAATGGTGAGTATAATGGGCTGAACTGAAAGCCCTGATCCAAACCCTGGTGTGTGTGTGGCGGGGGGGGGGGGTGTCAAGATCCAGATTTAGCACCTGGAATTCTCATCAGAACAGCCTGTGTATGCCTGGCACTGACTACCCCTCTCTTTCGGTACATATGTGGCCCTGACCCCCTCATCCCAGAGCGTCACACAAACAATGAGCATCTCTTCGCAAACCATCTGTGGGGCGGGGAAGGATTATCACCCCGTTGCACTGCTGGGGGACTGAAGTGCTGAGACACAGAGCATCGGTGCAGAGCAGAGCCGCTCCAGTCCAGCACCTGAACCCTAATCACGCAGAAGAGCAAAGACGCCAAAACACGGGAGAACATTTCCCAGTCTCAGCAAAGGTTCAGATCCTGCTCGTAAATAAACAGACACAGACATTGGTGCCAAGTAGAATTTGGAAGGTGCCAGAACCCAGTACCTTCCAAATCCTACTTGCCTGGGGCTAGTAACTCCTTTTGATGGGCAAGTCACACACCATTCAATATGCCACTGGCACCAAGGCAAAGGGCAGGTGAAGAGATTTTTATACCTGGGCTGGCCAGCTGTCAGGGCAATTTTGCAAGGCTGGAGAAGGGGCCTGTTATCGGACCTGGGTCCCCCACCCCGCCCGCCCTCCCACCAGCACTGAATATGGGAGAATCTTGCTCCCTGGATGACAGTTTTATTTTATTTTGAGAGGAAGCAAATGTAGAGCCAGTTCTCCCCAGTAAACTCTTACAGGAGGAGGGGAGTGAAACCCACTGCCTGCAGCGGGGCCAGAGAGGGAGATGGGAGAGGACACCCCAAAGAAGCCTGGAGTTGATTTCATCTCCCCCCCAATCCCCCCACCCTTTCCTTTCAGTTTGACTCTGCCTCCGTGCAGCATCTTCCTGGCGAGTGTTGCCATGGTAATTTTGTCTGCAATGCAGTGGGACCCCCTACAGCCAGCCCCAGAGTCTCCTCCCTGCTGAGCTATCGCTATCGGAGCGACACAGAGCGCTCCCCTCTGCTGGGATGGACTCGGGTTCGAGAAAGGCAGGAACACGGATCGATTGGAGAAGCAAGAGACAGGAGGAGCAACTGAGAAAACTCACTGATGCCGCAGGGCCGGGAGCGCTGGCTCTGCAGGCCGTGGCACCCCCATTCGGAATTGGATGTGGCTGGATCCTTATCCAGCTCTGAGAGGCCGTCAGGCCGACATGGGAGCAACCACCCGGGGCTGCTTGCTCTGCTCTCCTTGCTCGCTATCCAGAGGGTCACACGGGTGCCGGCAGGGAGGCGCGGTCTGGAAAGGCTGGGCCCTGCATTTATGCCACAGTTCTTTTGACTTTGGCTGGGGGCAGGGGGTGCTCTGAGCCTTTCATCTGGGGCAGGTGCCAAGCCTTTACCACTGGCGTAGACAACCAGTGCATCCTTGCTTTGGTCCGCCGAGCTCAGCTGATTCGTATTGTTTGCCAGGGACAGAGGGTGCTAGGGAGAACATGCCTGGAAGCACACAGGACAATTGCCTGCGTCATTCCTCCTGGCTCCCACACCCCTGCCCTCTGCATGGGCAAGGCGGCATCGTACCCACCCAGTGAGGTGCCCAGGGTGGTGAGTCTTTTGCTGTTGTGGCAGCTGCAGGGCTGGGCTAGGCATCTAGCCGGCATCGCCCTATGCATGCTGGGATTCCTCTGTTACACTGTCCTGTTTCTCACTCCTCCACACTCTTAGGAACTCAGGGAGCCCAAGAGCGCCTCCTCCCTGTGCCCAACTCACATGCTTGGCCCTCCTGCAGCTCGACAGCCATGAGCAATCAGCAGCCAGATGGGGCCACGTACCCTGAACGCGAGATGGAAGGAAGCGGGGTGTAGCAAAGCAGGCAACTGGGAATCCTGGGTCCATCCAGTGGCTTGGCACATGACCTGGGGTAAGTCACTGCACCGCCCCGTGACTCAGTTTCCCCATCTATATTCTGCAGGTGGTTGTACCTTCCTACCCCACCGGGAGGCACTGAGAGCTGAACTCAATCTGGGTCTCGAAAGAGCGCTGAACTCCTTGGGGGGAAAATGCTACAGGGGAGCGAAGAGTCCGATGCAACCTCCCTTACGCGCAGGGAACAGCCCCGTTGCAAGCAATGGATTATTCACATGCTTCAGTGCGTTTGAGAGGGGGCAGGCACGACACAAAGTGAAACGACCTCCATGGAATGGCTGGAACCTC